CTCCGCCATTTCGATCCTCTTGCGTTCATCGGGCGCGTCTGGTTTATGTGGTTTAACTAATTGTAAACTTACCGTGGGACTAACGAGTAATGCTTTCGAATCGCCTACCCATGCGACATATAAATGCCCGTACGATGGTGGTTCGCGTTGTGCCAATAGCATACAAACCGCAGTTGTACCACTGGAAATGCCTTTTTGTGTGAACATTTTATCTGTTTGTAAGAAGGAATGCTCAAAAGCTTCGCGATAAGATTTTACATCATCCAGCTCATTGGTTGTGGTTTTCAAGCTTTCGGCTAGTAGGTATGGCAGTTGGCTTGTTGCGTAACTGGCCGCCAACGGCCCTGAATGACCATCGAATACACCATAAAAGCTGTACGGTTGCTTTAATTCATATAAATCACTAAAGCGCTCTAAACAAACATGTCGATCCTCCATTTTACGTGGCTTATTTTTAATGTGACCAACTGTGTAAGCAGTGGGAAGCGGTGATGCAGCTATATGGCATGTACATTTTGAACCATCTGCGCACAGTGCATCTTTTTCTGCATAATTTTGCAAATTGCCTGCCTCTGTATTATCCGTCAAACGGGTGAGTAACTTTTCCAAATTGTTCACAACATACTTCTGTAGTTTTACCAAATCATAAACGATGCCCGTATCTGTTGCTGTTTTCGGTTTGTTTTGATCTTGTTTTCCGCTGGCGTTGAACTCACATTCCTTGGCATTGCGGCACCCTTCTTCAACTTCTGCGGCAACAATACGCAATATGGGTAGTTGGAAAAATCGCGGACATTGCTTTAATTGAAGATGATTCCATACGGACATAATTATTTCAGCGGGCACTTCCTGTGAGCGCACCGGATATGTTTCATTACTGCTACGGGAAATGCTGATACGCGTAGGTTCACCGGCGCTTGCAGCATTATTCACCGATTCTCGTACTAAATCACTCAAGAAACCTTTAAATTCTCTCAATCTTGCGCATTCCNCGCGTAGGTTCACCGGCGCTTGCAGCATTATTCACCGATTCTCGTACTAAATCACTCAAGAAACCTTTAAATTCTCTCAATCTTGCGCATTCCATCGACTGCGAAGCAGTTGCGGCAGCAGGTACTTTCTCCGACATTCCTTCACAGTGCCCCAGACAAACACACACAAGCTAACTTCTCGCGTTGTTGGATATTGTTTAACTTTTACGATTGCTGTTTCTGTTAAAAGCGTTTATAAGTACATTATTTTTTAAATTTTATTTGTTATTACTGTACGATTATAAACTACGTGATTTATAATTTGTTTTTGCTCCAGCATCTCCAAAATCAAGGGACATTCCCGCACACCCAGCTGATTAAGCTTAACGATAGCTAATAGATATCGATAGCAGAGTCTCGATGAATGACTAATCGATTTAGTAATTTTTCCCCTTTTTAAGATTATTTTTTAATTAATTGAGACATAAAGAATCTTAACAAAATCCTTCTGTAGCAGTGTATGCTTGGTATTCCAATTGGAAAATTGCTCACCGATGAGAATGTCGTCAACGAAATAATTGATGCCCTTCTATGGAGAATCACTGAATTACTTTTAATGAATAAATGTGGACTTTGTAATTNGCAGTGTATGCTTGGTATTCCAATTGGAAAATTGCTCACCGATGAGAATGTCGTCAACGAAATAATTGATGCCCTTCTATGGAGAAGGCTGGCATTATGGGGAATCACTGAATTACTTTTAATGAATAAATGTGGACTTTGTAATTTTTGCCTGCCGAGGGATGACCGCTGTTAAGAAAATACCTTTTTTCTATATTTTTTTTGCGATGTTGCTTTGACCAGGGTTTGGACCCAGGTGCTGCGGAGTGGAAGCCACCACCTGCGCTTTCCACCTGCGCAGGGATCTAAACTATATGCAATATGTAATAACTGCTCCTCTCTAAGAAACCAAACACTTCTCTAAAAGTACTTTTGCTGGTGTAATCTTAATCATATATTTTTGAATTACATTTAATTAAATAGTAATGATAATGCTTCCTTGGTAAATATCATAATCACTCATCCAATGTTATATGCAAATTTGCCGAAGGATGCAAGCCCAATTCCTTTATAGTAGAACTATCATGTTCCGCCTCAAGCATTTTTCTCGGGAACGCACAAATCAATTTATATGTACCGCCATTCTTGATAACATGCGAGTGTTTTTCGCCTATATATAGCCTCAGCACTTTCAAGAGCGTATCTGATGGCCAACGTAGTTGTACCACTTCATCATTGCCTTCGGCATTAAGTAAACGCAATCTGATCGCAGTCAGTTCATTAGTGGCTTGACCAAGTTGTTTTTCATAGGAAATAATCGTTTGATTATAAGCGCTCTTGCTATCCTCATCGCCAAATTCTTCCGCTGACTCAAATTCACTACTATCATCGGCGCCGCCATCTTCATTGTTACCAGTATTTTTGGTTTTACTTTTACCATTTGTACTACTACTTTCGCGCATAGAATTTCGTATGGCTAAATTAATTTGCTCTTCTTCGGTAAGATCAAGTAATTTAAGGCGCTTCTTTTTTTCAGCGCTATTCTCGGCTTCTTGCTCATCATCTGACAACGTTATAGTACGTTTGGAAGTAGATGGACTATCGTCGGTTGCATCATCTGAGAATTCCTTGTGCTCACTTATATATTCTCGCAAACCGGAAAGCACATTTGACTCTTTGGGATCATTGCACTTCCACATCTCTTCGCCAGTACGTGGATCAACCACACACACATATGGCAAATTCGCACAGTGATAAAATGTTACAAATCTGCGACCTTCAGAGGTATCAGCATCGATCTGCAGTAAATAAATATATTATATTTTTTACTTTTCATGTAAACGCTTACAGTAAATAAAATTGAAGAAATATACTTACTTGCCACAACAAAAAACGTCTTTTAATAACTTGACGCACATCCTTGTTCGCCCACACATCACGATTGAGTACCTGTGAATTGAAATTGTCATCTTGAACATTCACCAAAAGCCAACGGCTCAGTGCTGTTGCACGTGCGCGGCCTGCTTGAAAGGTGCCAGCGAATGCAATATCGGTTGGCGGACGGAAAAGATCACCCAAACGAGAAGAAGTTGAAGGTTTCGAATCAGTCGACTGTGCTGTAGCAGCTGTTGTCACCATTGAAGCAGCGCGTGTACTAGCCCAACGTCTACCGTTAATACCATTTGATGTTGACGCTAGTCCAGATACATCTGCTTGCAGTTGCTCCTCCATTAGTTCCCCTTCGCGTGCAAAATCTCGAAAGGGGCATATTTTTACACGTTGATTCATGCGTTGCATGCGTCCCGTAGCAGATAATGACGGCGCTGCAAGAAAATTATCATCCTCAGGTCCAATTAATTGTTCACGTCTTGGAGCAATGGGCGCTCGCACATTATCCTCATCATCGAAGGCATCTGGTACGGCGGCGCCATCGCTAGTGGGAACTATATCAGCAACTCCGCTGCCTTGCTCAAAATATAACGCAACTGCTGATTCTACGTCATTGTTGCAGGCACCCAGCAAATGTTTAGCCTCGTCCGAACTGGCACCCGTTACTTCAATCACGCGTTCCACTAGCTCATCGCTTGGTGTGGACATTTTAAAAAGGTATTGGCTGCACGTCTATTAGCAATCACACTGCCTTTTTATTGAAATAAAAGGTGAAAATTTTCGAAAATTCCTACTTAAAACAAGTTTACACGATTTTTACTAAATATGCAATTGCGAGTGCACGAAATGCTTTTTTCTGCTCTGTTTATTTGCTTTGACATTTCTCTCAATTTGTT